TTGAACTTAAGAGGAAATAAAATATCAACTACTGGAAAATAAATAAGGATGAGAGTAGCAGGTCTAGTTAATTTTATCAATAAAACCTAAGCTAGTGTTTTGAAAGATATTGAAAAAAATCTATAGAAGTAGGCAAGGGTGAAAAAATAAGAAAAAGAGAATATATAAATCAACCACATTAAGAATGAAAAAGGGCCGGGCGCGGTGGCTCAAGCCTGTATTCCCAGCACTGTGGGAGGCCGAGGCGGGTGAATCACGAGGTCAAGAGATCGAGACCATCCTGGCCAACATGGTGAAACCCCGTCTCTACTAAAAATACAAAAAATTAGCTGGGCATGGTGGCGCGTGCCTGTAATCCCAGCGACTCAGGAGGCTGGGGCAGGAGAATTGCCTGAACCCGGGAGGCGGAGGTTGCGGTGAGCCGAGATCGTGCCATTGCACTCCAGCCTGGGCAACAAGAGCGAAACTCCGTCTCAAAAAAAAAAAAAAAAAAAAAAAAAAAAAAAAAAAAAAAAAAAAGAATGAAAAAGGACCAAAATTATAGAGCAAAAGTAACTGTTAAAAATATGATACTGCTTTGTTAGTCACTGTGCCAATAACTTAATGGATAAAATTGATGATTTTTAGAAATCAGTCAATACATTTTACATGTCTAATTTTTAAGAAAAATATATATTGCCAAAGTTGAATAGAGAATAGTTAAAATAAATCAACTCTGATAAATGAAAGAGAAACACAAGTATAAACAGATAACTTTAAGGTAGAAAAAAAGAATTCAAGAAACAAAATATCAAATCCTTACATATTGATGTGGGTAAAAGACAAGAAATAAACTCTCAGCATTAAACAAACGAAATAAAAATAAATAAAAACTACTTGGAAATAAAGGATGCGGTAAAAACAGAAACACTACAGAAAAACCATTTAAAAGATTAAAATGGAAGTGAACACTTTTTTTTAACTGACAAAAATGTTTTCCGGTCTCAACACAAGCCAGATTTTGGTTGATATGTATGATAAGCTAGAATAACAGCAGATTCAATATATTTTTATATTTTGGTGTCAAAATTAATTGTTAAATAAGAGCTTCATTAAAGCTGTGATCATCTGAATGTGTAAATGAGCATGATTCCTTTGCATCTTACCTTAGAGTTAACAGAATTTCAGATATATTTGTAAAATATAAATTTACTCTCATACACAAGCAAAACTAAAGAGAAACCTAAATAAATAAGCCATAATAGAAGAAATTAAGTAGTCAGTTGAAGATCTAACTTTAAAAGTCTCATGTCCTGTATGAAGAATTCTAGGAAACCTGTAAGGTTCAGACAATCCCTATAATTATGAATTACTTTGAAGCATAACAAAAGACAATTAAAATAATAAATTTTATAGGAAGATATTTGCTAATGATGTTAACCAGACCAAAGTGTAGTAGCTAGAGAGTGTAATACAATGATGAAATATTATTTAAAATGAGGGCAGACTTGAACATGTTTACCTAGAGGGAGAGGTGAGCAAGAATGAAGCGATTCATAACACAAAAGAGAAAAAAAATCATTGTGAAAAATTCTTGGAGGAGACAGAAGCAGGGGAGATCGAGAGCTCATGTGAAGGGTTTAGCATTAACAAAGAAGCAGAATATCTTTTGAGAGATTACAATCAGGTAAGAAAGAATTATGAAAATAGACACTGTGATGATTAATTTTATGTGCTAATTTGGCTAGAATATGGTGTCCAGTTGTTTAGTGGAACACCAGTCTTGATTTTACTGTGGTTGCATTTTTAACGATGTGATTAACATTTAAATCAGTTGACACAGAGTAAAGCAGATTACCCTCCTTAAAGCATGTGGATCTCATCTAGGCCTTAAGAGCAAAGACTGAGGTCCCCTGAAAGAAAAGAAATTCTGCCTTCAGACTGACTTTGGACGTAAGACTGGAATGTCAACTCTTCCCCTGGGTCTCTGGCTTGCTTGCCTGCCTTGCAAAATTTGGACTTTCCAGCCTTACAATTGTGTGAGCCAATTTAAAAAAATAAATTTCTCTCTCTCTATGTACATATTATATATATATATATATATACACACACATATATATACACATATATATACATTTTTATATATATATACACATATACACACACACACACACACACACATATATATATATATATATGTATAAATCATGAGAAGTTTCTCACCTTATTCTGTAAGGCTAATATGATCTTCATACCTTAATTGGACAAGGGTAGTAGAAAAAAAGAAACCACAAGCCAACCTCAGTCATGAACATAGATAGAAAAAAACAATAATAAATAACAAAATTCTGACACATGTTAAAAAGAGGGATATATCATGGCTAAGACCTAGCTCAGTAAGTGAAGGATGCCTTGCAATTAAAAAAAAAAAAATCTTTGAAAGCATTTTGGAAGAAAAATCCTTATTACATCCATTCCTGATTTGAAACAACAGCAGTACCAACAAAATTAAAACATTATCACTAAGCTATGGCCAGAAAGACGCTTCCTCAACTTAAGTATATGCATCAGAGACTACATATATATAAACATCATATTTAATACAAAACACTAGGATCATTCTTGCTTAAATAAGAAACCAGACTTGGACGCTACACATAAACACAGACACACACTGCTATTGGTTCTGTTCCTTTGTAGAACCTTGATAAATACGGTATTAGTCCATTTTCATACTGCTGTAAAGAATTGCCCAAGACTGGATAATTTATAACGGAAAGAAGTTTAACTGACTCACGGTTCAGCAGGGCTGGAGAGGCTTCAGTAAAGTTAAAATCATGTCGGAAGGTGAAGGGGAAAGCAAGGCGACTTTCCCACAATGCAACACGAAGAAGTACAGATTGAAGGAGGAAGACCCTGCCCCGCCCCCCCTTATAAAACCACCAGATCTCGTGAGAACTCACTCCCCATTACAAGAACAGCATGGAGAAAACCGCTCCCATGATTCAACTACCTCCACCTGGTCTCCACCTTGACAGGTGGGGCTTATGAGGATTATGGGAATTACAATTTAAGATGAGATTTGCTGGGCACCCAAAGCCTGACCATATTAAATACATTGAAATTTAGTCAGTATCTGTGGAACACAATACTTCTGAAGGGACTAACTCAACTGAAGTCTAGACTCATTAACACTAGGCTCAATCATTGGAGAAATTTAAAAAACAATGACAACAAAAAAAACACTAGGCTCAAAACGGCTGAGCCCAACCAATATCAGAAACGGTTTTGGTGTATCCCTACATTTTAATAGATACATATACACAAAAACATTGTCCACAATCTTAAAATAATCACTGTTAACATCTCAGTGTAATTTATGTCTTTTTTCTATATACTTCTATAACATATTAAGGGCACATTATTCATATAATTTTGTACTTTGCTTTAAAATGACTTTTGTTACACCACTTTTATATATATTCTATTTTGTAAATAATTTCACCTTTTAGATTCAGAGGGTAACATGTACAGTTTTGTTACATAGCTATATTGCATGATGCTAAGGTTTGGTATACAAATGATCCCATAAGCCAGGTAGTGAGCATAGTACCAAATAAGTAGTTTTTCAAACTTTCCCTCCCAACCTCCTCCCTCTATTAGTCCCCAGTGTCTATTGTTGCCATCTGTGTGTCCACAAGTACCCAATGTTTAGCTCCCATGTATAAGTGAGAACATGTGGTATTTGGTTTTCTGTTCCTATGCTAATTCACTTAGGACAATGGACTCCAGCTGCAGCCATGTTGCTGCAAAGGCCATCATTTCATTCTTTTTAACAGCTGCATAGTATTCCATGACATATAGTACCATATTTTCTTCTTCCAATCTAATGTTCAAGCTGAGAGTCAAATAAAGAACTCAGTTATCTTTATAAAAGCCAATAAATATGTAAAATACGTAGGAATACATCTAACCAAGGAGGTGAAAGATCTCTACAAGGAGAATTACAAAACACTGCTGAAAGAAATCATAGATGACACAAACAAATAGAAAAACATTTTCTGCTCATGGATTGGAAGAATTTATACCATTAAAAATGGTCATAATGCCCAAAGCTATCTATAGATTTAACAGTCTTCCAATCAAATTACTAGCATCATTTTTGTACAGAATTAGAAAAAAACTACTGTAAAATTCATATGGAACCAAAAAAAGCCCCAATAGCCAGAACAATCCTAAGCAAAAAGTTTTATATATTCTTTATTAAAAATCAGAAAATATAAAAAAGAAAAATGAACTTTAAAAACCATAAATCCACTGTCTAGAGGAATCCACTGTCTATGAGTGTAAAGCTCCAGATATTTTTACTTTTTTCAATTGCAACTTTTAAACATCGCTAGTTTTGATAAAATTTAAAAATATACTTAAGTATATTTTACACATTTTAACCCCACACTCTTCCTGTCAGACAAACTATGTGATCTGGCAAAAGAGGGTCTAGTTGGCTCTCCCAACCGTTTCTGGGTGTATGTGTGGCACCCCACACTGAGTTGAGAAGCATTGGGCCCCTCATAAAGACTGCTGGAGAGAAATGAAGTTTTAGCATAGACTTCTAGGCTGGAGGCCATGTCAAGATGGAATAAAGAGAGTGGTCTGCAGAGCCACTGAGAATCCAGCGAGGAAGTAATTAGGCCATTATAGTCCTACCCTGTTCTCTATAAACATTAAGAGAAGTGGAAATAAGTAGGAGGGAAACTGAGAGATTGAGTGGAAAAGACTGGGTTAAACCTGAGTTTACATCATTGGGTAAGACTAAATTTTCATCTGGATTGGGTTAACATTAGATTGCTCACCACTCCATCCACAGTGAGTAGGTGGGATCTCTGGCAAAGGTGATCAGAGAAATTTTAACAAATAATTAACTACATTTCCATGGACATCTGAATTTAAGAATTTTTTCAATGACTAAATATACATTTATAATAAAAGTTTTACTGTTAAAGGCAAAATTTTTAAAGGAGTTTAATTATTAATGGTGACCAAAATTTTATTTAACTCATTAATGAAGGAATCGATAAAATGTTACAACTCATTTCAAAGGAATATTCGAAGAGAAAACAAATATATAGACATGCTAAGACTATAATGAATACAAACTGGCAAAATGAAATGAATAATATGAAAATGAATACAAACTGGCAAAACAGGTCAATATCAATAGGGTAATAATCAATTGTATTCCCCTAGACAATACTTGCATTTCTATAAACAAAGTCATTTGCATTATTATCAGTTTTCTACAACTTAAAAAATTGCAAAGTAGTTCAAAGATCACAAAAGGCTGAAAATCCCTGAAGGGTGCACTGGACAGGACACCCAGTATATTTTTGTCTTTGTACACTAAAAAACAACCCTCTGCCTCCCACCAAACCCCATCTTCCAAGACTATATTGGAATGGGAAAGTTTAAAGGTAGACGATGGGCATGCGTGAAATGATCTACATTGTAAAGACGGGAGGCATCTAAAATTAGGAGTAGGGGTGAGATTAGCAGGCAGAATATCAGTCCTCTAAAGATGTCCATGCGCCCATTCCCAGAACCTATGAATATGTTACATCATGTGGCAAAGGGGAATTCAAGATAGTAGATGAAATTAAGGTGGCTAATCAGCTGACCTTAAAATAGGGAGATTGTTCTGGACTCTTGGGATGGACTCTTGGGATGAAGGAGTCAAAAGAAGAGGTCAACAATGTGATGTGAGAGCCCTGCTCACTGTTGCTAGCTTTGAAGATGGACACCAAGAGCCAAGGAACGGCTGTAGCCTCTACAAGCTGGAAGGGGCAAGGAAATGGATCCTTCCCTAGAGAATCCTCCAGAAAGGAATGCAGCCCTGCCAACTCCTTGATTTTATCCCAGTGAACCCCATTTCAGATTTCTGAACTACAGAACTTTAAGATAATAAATCTGTTTTAAGCCTATGATCCTCCTTGCTCTTTCACATAAAAGGACCCTACACAGGGGACCCTACCTATGTAAGCCCTTACACTGGGCCTAGGTAAGTAATCCAGGATAATCTCCCCATATCAAGATCCCAAATTTACTCACGGCTGCAAAGTCACTTTTGTTGTGTAAGGTAACATATTCACAGGTTCTAGGGATTAGGATGCAGGATGTGGCACATTGCTGTGGGATCATTATTCTGTCTATTACAGAATTTCTGATTCTATTCCAAAATTTGTTCTTGTACTTTAATGATCTTGCCTTCACATGATATCTTGAGAGAATTCCTTAGTCTTGCAATTCACTAACTTGATCTTTTATGTTCATTCTGTTACATAATCCATTTTTAATTTCAGTAACCATGTTTTAATCAAGAACTCCAATCTGTATATAGTATGTGTGAACACAACCCCTGTATCTCTGAAAATAGGAAGTAGACTTGTTTTGATATTTCATTCTACTTTCTGTGTTAACTCTGTTTTCTTGGGAGTTAAATCTCTTTGTTTGAACTTATGTTTTCTTTGCCCTAGATTTTTCTCAAATATTTGTTGACTCTTCATTTCCAGGCTATACTTTTAAATGAATGTTTAAATAACGTAGTATTTATCTTTAAAGTATATTTCATTTCTTCAAAGTGAAGCTTTTCATTTCTATTGTTGGAATGAAGGTTCTGCTTTTGGGAGCACTGGTGACTGTAAGAAGGGTGTGAGAAAAGTTTCAGGAGGTGATAGTTAAGTCTGTGCAATAGAAAACAGCAATTAAGGAGGGCTCTAATACCACTTCAACTGGGGTCAGATTCTGGCTGTGCCATCCATGGCGTATACAGAAAAATTTATCTGACCACTTTGTGCTCCAGTTTCCCTGTCTTTACAATTGCGATGAGTGTACTCATCTGCATAAATTTTTTATGAGGAGTAAATGAATCAGTACATATAAAGCTATGAGAACAGTACCTGGCATATAGTAAGATTTTGATACATGTTAGCTATTTTTTGAATGTTCAATTTATGAACATGTGCACTAGTGATTGTATTTTTCAGCAAACTCTAGAGTCAGCTGGCCCCAGCCCTTTTTTTTCTGCCAAACACCTGTTGGCTGTTGTTGGTCTTGGTCCACACTATCTCTGCTCTTGAAATTATGAATCCCTCACCTCTGACTTTCTCCCATTTCTACTCTCCAAAAGAAATTAACAGTTTGATTTCCAGCCTCCCATAATGTTTCTATTTATACACAAGTATATATAATGCATAACATATAGTGACCTATATATCTCCCCTCTTTTCAAACATAATTTATCTCAACTTATTTTTTAATCATTATATTTTAGACCTGTTTTTATATAAATGTGCATATATGAGTTTTCTTAAAGGAAAAAAGAGAGGAAATGATTAGTAATTTTGTAAATGTTCCTAGGATAATAGGTTACATATTTGGGGAAAAAATCAAGCTAATTGAAGAATTGGATATAAAATACCAAATATTATCCAAAGAAAAACAGAAGTAAGTATCAAAGAAAAAACTCATTTTGGGAGATAACTGATTTGAGTACAAACATAAAAGATTTATTCAACAAAGTGGACTATATCCACATTTCCTCTCCATCTTCCCAGGTCCCATTGAAATGACAGTATAAATTTTAAAAATAAAACACATAGCAACTCTGGAAATCCAGGAGGACCCCACCTGCAGGCCAGGACAGCAAGGGTTTCTGGAACATAGAAAGCAGAGGCAAACAGATCAGTGATGAGACGACAGAGGTGAGGGACTGATACAGAAGCAAAAGCAGTTCCTCTAAAAGTGGTTTCCTCAGAAGCACTGCAAAAGAATGTTACATCAGAGGATTAAATCAAGGTGGTAGTTTTCACTTTAGGTTCCATTAGGTTCACAGAAGCATCAAAAAGGCTATATTCAATATATTCACAATAGAGATTTCCACTGTGTGTTTGATAATATCAAGCGATATTTTAGCAGTTCAAGGGGATCCTAGCAAAGGAGCCACCTGTGGACACGTGACCAAAGCTGAGTCAGGAGTGGCCACTCAAGCATTTATTCCTGGGTAAAAGCAAACATGCAATCCAGTAAACTGAGAATTCTGACAAGGGAGACTCAGATACCTTAGGTGACTAACTACTGCTTTGGGGGTTGGGGTGGGTATAAGAAGTCTTTATAACAACATTATCATTGAAAATAATAGCCAGTATGTATTTAGTTAATGATATGCTTTTGTTACTGTCACACTGATTTAACTTTTTTTCCCCAAGTCAAACTGTATCCAGGTTTATTAAAGATATTTTCCATAAACAGTCATGGTATTTCAGGCAGGACATGGGTAGGCAATCTCTAATAGTATACAACTTTCAAACTCCCTTCTTCAATGGACTACCAAAAATCAGAAAGCCACCATAAAAGCCAAAGAAGTCTTCATCTCATGCTCCGAACAGTTTAGAGTGAGAGTTGACATTTCACATTTCACATTTCATATGTTGTTTAACAGCTTTTCATGAGCTGACCCTGACTTTCAGGAAGTGGCATTAAAATGGCAGAATTTATCTGAAGATCCACAATCTAGAAAGGGAACCACTGCTCTTTTGAGGGGTGCCATTTCAGTGGCATCACTGGAAAGTCCAGATTGCCTGACACACTACTGGGGGTCAGGTCCCAACAGATGTCTGGGCTTAAGGGAGTTAAGTCTATGCTGAAAGATGGAATAAAAACGAATTTGTTTTTCCATATCACAAGGCTTTTGTGTGCCAAGGTGGCCATGTGTGTCAAAGTCAGGGAATCCCTCTTCCTGGAAGCCAATAGGAAGTCTCTCAAAATTAGAACGTAAAGGTGTTATCCATCAATCCAGCTTCAGAGACATTCTATGAGTGATATATACCCCTTCCCCCAAAACAACAATGAAATGTTTGTTCTGTGTGCTAACAAGATAGTTTAAACAAAAGGTAAAACACAGTTCTGCATTTTATGAAAGTTGATAAAAATGATTACTTCAAACTGTATAGTCACCAGAAGTGCACAGTTATCAAAAATGCACACACTTTCCCTGGCATCTCCAGCACCATCAACTTTCTGTGCCCTGTCTGTTTGGCATCTCCATTTTCTGCAGGGTTACTCCCCTCCTTGCCAGCATCAGCTTTTCCGTTTTTCCCTTTGGGTACCTTCTCTCCCTGCTTTGCAGGGGCCTTTTTAGGCTTGGGCTCTGGCTTGGGAGGAAGCAGGTTTAGCAGACAGCCTCATAGATCTTCTCTGTGGTTAGCCCTTCACCTTTCTCTTCGGTGTGGTGGCAGGACATAGTTGCTGGGTGTGGGTTTTGGGTGGCCCTGGAGTCATTCTCACCTCTTCACACTGCTCCTGATTTAATGTTGCAACATGTTTTAATAGTTTGTAGAGCTAGCCTCTCCCTCACTTCTCATTTTTAAAACATTCTTAGAGGTTTTTGCTGTCTTTCTGGTATCTCATTTAAAATTTACTTATCCCCAAGTTTTTTAAATAATGCATAAAATAAACTCCAACATGGCCTTTTAAAGGTAGAAAAATAAAAGATAAAATTTCTGCTAGATTAATTTTCTAAAAAGAGGAATATTGTAATGTTTGGAATTTTCTGAAAAATCAAAATAGTGCAAAAAAATCATATTTCAGTGAAACATGAACTCTTACATTATTTAAGTTAATTGATTAAGAAGAAAAGTTAGTATGTGAGACATTTATCCTTCTGAAATAAAGTTCAATCCTGAATATGCCTCTTTAATTATTCACATTCCTCCAAAGTTTTAAATCCAGGTGGTAGCTTCAGTTTAGTTTCCGTTAGGTTCACAGAAGCATCAAAAGGACTTTGTTTAGTATAGTCACAATTAGAGATTTCCACTGTGTATTTGATAAAATCAAGCAATATTTTAGGAGCTCAAGGGAATGTTATAAGTCCCAGAACCATAAAGGCTTGGCCTGGTTAGTGGATAACCCTAGCCTACCATGGTATGACACAACCATAAACTGGACAGAGAGAGTCAGGAGGCTGCTTCTTCCTTCCCCAGTGTGGAGAAGCTGTTCTCAGACCAGCAGTGACAGAATGGGAAAGGGCCACTTCAGGTGTTATTGAACCTGAATTTATAACATGTTGGGTTCCTTCTTTAAAAATAAAAGAAAACAAAATTCAGAATATACAGTTGCTAGGACCCATTCCAGAGACATGGAGGGGGCCCTTGTAGGTGAGGGGCCTGAAGCTTCAACTTAGTTCATTTCAGATAAGCAGGAAAGCCTCTGAGGGACCTCTCCATGGTGGAGGCCTGCCCAGGATGCATAACTACTGTAGCCTTCTAGAGTAACGCGGTGTGGCAGAGAAGGGGGCCTCGGTTAAATTAATGAGGTGCTTTTATTTTTTTCCTAGTGAAGGTTAGCAAGAAGGACAGATCCCTAGAACTCAGTAGTGAGGAAGGAAAATAGACATTCTTGTCGTAAGAAGGATGGGAAGGTGCTCGCCATATTATTTTAAATGTTAGAAGTTCCCTGTGCTCTAAACTGGTAAAGCAGGACACACCTATCCATTATATCTTAATGCCTCTGAAGTTAATTGTGTACTTAATGAAGAATGGAAATCAATTGTATTGTTGTAAGAGCAATCTGTCAATATAAATCTGTTCCCACAGATTTTTAGGAGTGTTACTCTTTCTAATACATTGTGGCCACTCCTTTTATTTCAACTGTGCCTCATGCAGATGTGATTTGCAGCTAAGTTCGGGTCAACTCCATTGACTGTGCTCATCTTCTCAAGGCATTATCTACTCTTTCATTTCCTAATTAATATAGTCAACACCCATCCTACCGTCTATTCAAGGCGCAGTGAAATAATGAACTCTCTAATTCCACCTTATTCCTTTTTACTCTCCTTAGCCCAGGAATTACTGAGTCAAACTGAATTTACCTCCTAATGTCCTTCCTATTCATTATCTCCTTGTAATTCAATGTCAGTTTTGGATTCTGGACTCTTCTCTCATTTTTAGAATATTGCAGTATCTTCTAACTCTTTATTGTTATTCTTTTCTTCCAATAATTTTTCTATAATGCTGCCAGACGGGGCCCTTTTAAAACACAAATAGACCATGTCACCATCTGCACAAAAACCTTCGTTGGTTCCTTATTCCTTAAAACAAGCTCTGGTCTGTCAAGGGACTATGGAAACATAGCCACTATTGTTGGCAGAGTTTTACTTTTGTGTAATATGTTCTGAATGCCTACAGGAAAAAAGTCTGAGTTGTAGGTGGAATTCCAAGACCATTACTTTTATTTCTCTTCTTACATGTACTCTACATGCAAATAGCATTAATAATTTCTTACTTCATTGGTTTCCTTTCTGGTACTCAACTCTATTCTGTTTTTACTCTTTTTCCAGGAGTCTTACCTCTCATTCTAATAGTATTTAGCTTCTAAGTGTTTTTCTCAGGTTTTGCTTTTCATTTTTTAAAACAAGTGTAGTTCTTTATATTAGCCACTCTCTCGTTCCATTTCTTTTTGAATGACCTTTCTTTTCCAGAGAACCATTGGCAATTTGAGTCCCATGAAAATAAGAAACAGTTTTTGACATGGAGTAGACACTGCTTGCAACTATCTTAAAAAACTAAATAAGCGGTGACCTATATTCTGAATTGTAAGTGATTTTTAAATTGCTCATGAAAATAGAAGAGTCTTGGTAGAGAAACCAGATTGCTTCAAGTGCATAATGGTGAGAAAGCTTTTGTCTCACGGAATAGTTGTCATATAAGCTTATAATTCAGCTCTAGTTACTAGTGATCTGTGTGGTGAAAGTAGGTTGATAACTTCAGTTCATTTTCCAATAGAAAAATGTCAGAATTTAAGCAGGCCTCAAAGGGCTATGAGAAACTGTGTCTTCTAAAAGAGAATATGTTGAATGGGCATAACTGGCTTGGTCCTGGTTACCAAGAGAATCACTTTCTTGAAGCGTGGTGTGACCTTTCATTTCCCCAATGTACGCTTACATTGTACATTGTACAATGTACAATTACAATGTACGCTCCACATTCTGTATGTGGAGCTTACAGAATACTGACCAAGAGTCAAGTGAACAAACAAAGGAGCAGGAAAAAGAAGAGATGTTCTGACCTAATAGATAAATAAGTAAATGTTTAAAAACCTGCCTTGTTTGGATGTTTTCATAATTAATTTTAATGGTTAAATGAATACTTTCTTAATTTTTGTTTTGGGGATATACTGGTTGTATACAAATGAAAAAGTGAAATTATTCAAAATCTTCTTTCGCTCTCTTAATTGCTTTACAGGACATAAAAATTCAGAGAATTGGCAGGATTTTAATTCAACCCACACAATCCAGTTTTAATTTTAATTAAGCCCTAAAATATTTTTGAAAGCCTACTATATGCAAAGTGTTCTATACAGTGCTGAAAAGAATGCAAAGCTATTACAAGGCTCTTGTGAGAGAAAAAAAAAGGAAAAATGAGAAAATGTATATAGGCATTGTTTGTAAACTATACAATATTTATATGTCAGTTATAATAACTATTATCATTATTATTAAACAAACATCCTGTCTCCTGGAGCTCACCATATTTTTGGGGATATAGATATCTAAATAATTAATACTAGGAAGGCTGAAATGAGCATACAACCAAATTTTATGAGAATCAGAAAAGAGAACAAAGTTAATTCTATTTGAAAAATCTGGAAGTTTTTATAGTTGAGCCTGGAACAACACGGGGTTAGGAGAACCAACCCCCTGTGCAGTGAAAAATTCACATATAACTTTTGACTTCCCCAAAACTTTAATAGCCTACTGTTGACTACAAGCCTTACCAATAACATGAATAGTTGATTAAGACATTTTTTGTGTGCTATATATATTATATACTGTCTTCTTACAATAAAGTAAGCTAGATAAAAGAGAATGCTATTAAGGAAATTATAAGGAAAAGAAAAATATATTTACTATTTATTGAGTTGCTATGGATCATCATAAATGTCTTCACCCTTGCCATCATGTTGACTAGGCTGAGAATATACCATTGTATATTTATAAACAGTTTTACTGAGATATGATTCACAAGCCACACAATTCACACATTTAAAGTGTAAACTCAAATGATTTTAGTATAGTTACAAGGTTGTGCATCCATAACTACAATCTGATTTCAGAACATTTTCATCCTCCCAAGTAAATTCCAGCCTATTAGCAATCATTCCTTCTAGTCATGTTGACCAGGAGGAAGAGAAGGAGAGGTTGATCTTACTGTCTCAGTAGTGGCAGAGGTGGAAGACATGAAGGAGGTGAAAGAGGAGGCGGGAGAAGCAGGTCACACTCAGTGTAACTTTACAGAAATCCTTTGTAATTTCTGTCTAACTTTTTTGCTTTTTCATTTCTCTAAAAATGTTCCTATCTGCTACGAATCCTTATTCAACCATTTATTTTAGTCTCAGTGCCTCTATGATAGAAGGGTCTAGGCTGTAAAAGAAGTCAAAAGCAGTCTTGAATAATAGGAACCTTCTGCCAGGTTGTCTAATGTCAATTTATTTCCTGGCATTGCTCCTTCTATATCTTCTTCCTCATAATCTGTCACAGGGTTGGAAGCACTCTCCATCACATCATCTTTTAATTCCTCTGGTGTGATATCTATTAGCTCTTGATTTTCTCCAAGATACGTATCTTGAAACCCTTCCCTATAATCTTTTTTTGCCATATCCACAATCACTTTCATGATTTCCTTGACTGGCTCTGTAATAAATCCTGTGAAGTCATGTAATCTGGACACAGTTTTTTTCACCAGGAATTTATTGTTTCAGGCTTGATGGTTTTCATGCTTTTTCTGTAACAACAATGGCGTCTTTAGTGGTGTGATCTTTCCAAACTTTAATGATTTTCTCCATACCAGGGTTCTCTTCCACAGTGTTGATAATCCTTTTCTCATAGATTACTGTGTGTAATGAATGTTAAAGGTCTTTATGATTCCCTGGATTTAGAGATGTTGTGTGTGTTGTTGCGGGGAGGCACTGCTGGTGAGTAGACCACGTTGATTCCTTTGGCTTTGAACTTATGGGGTTCTGGGTGACCAGGGACATTGTCCAATTTGTCCAATATCAAAAGAATTTTAAAAGACAGTCTCCTACTGGCAAGGTGCTTCTTTACTTCAGGAAAAAACATCAGTGGAACCAACCCAGAAAGGGTTCTCAGTGTACAGACCTTATTGTTCTGCAAACAAAAGACTAGCAGCTGGTGTTTATCTTCTCCCTTCAAATCTCAAGGTTTCCACATTGAGATACCATCTCAGGCCAGTTAGAATGGCGATCATTAAAAAATAAGGAGACAATAGATGCTGGAGAGTATGTCGAAAAATAGATCCTTCACTTTCTTTTCCCTTTTTCTCATATAGTGACTTCACTTTGTCTTGAATTGTATTTGAGGCTATAGATATGCCTTTCTTATAGCAATGCTGCACTCACATAAAATCTGCATTTTCAATACAAGGTAAAAAATACTTCACAAAAAGTACAAAGTTTTTATGCTGCTGGAATAGCTGCAGCAGCAGTTTCATAAGTTTTTTTTTTTTCTTACAGTGGTTTTTTTGCTGGATTTGTCTTCAAGTGGCTTTCAACCACAGGGGCAGAACTCAATCTATGGTATCTATAGAAAGCAATTCAACTTTTTCTTATAATGCCACTTTTCTCTGCTCCTTGGGAGCACTTCTTATGTCTCTAGTGGCACTTCATATTAGTCCATGGTATTATTCAAGGTTTATGATTGCACTAAACACAATTTAAAATATGCAAAAATGGTGAGGGGTCACTTTTTATTGGGATATGAAATTTACTGGAAGGATGAACTGTTCATGTGGAGATGATTAGTATCACATGGTGTTTTAAGCAGATACAACCCTTGAGCTCACCATATTGGCAAGAGGAGATGGCTATAAAGTTATTACAATAGTAGAGTATATACTATCATTAATTTATGCAATTATGATTTCATACTGCATCTTTATGTTTGTTTACATTTCTCTCAACTGCAAATGGCAACCTGTGAGGCTGTAAGTGCATATGTTTTAAGAAATCTTTACTTTTTATACAATATCTGTATATGTTTTAGGGTAGTAAATGAGGAGTAGAATAATATTTACTAATATTTTATGCATTCATGACATATCTAACTTTTCCTTAATTTTTAAAATATTTTAGCTGCAAGATTTATCTATTTTTTTCAAATTGTAGCAAATCTCCAAAAATTTTCCAATATATTTATTGAAAAATTGTCTGCATATAAGTGGATCCATGCACTTCAATCCTGTGTTGTTCAAGTCAACTGTATTTATTTTATAGAAAATAAAAAGTATGCTGATTATCTCAGTTTTACCCATTTACTTGTTTTCATATGATTTTATCAACATCAGTTTTAAAATGTATCCAACTGAGACACGAAGACTTATTTTTCTGAGTACTTTTTATAAAACTACCAAGTTGCCTTCCCTTCATAATGCTCTTTCCCACAAGCTGAATCCAGAAGAGTTTTAGGGATATTTATTTGTGTTCATTTTGAAGATATTTTCAACCAGTGTGGGTACACCTCTACTTACAGAAAGGCCACAATCAAGCTTCTTTTTATTGGCTTAAAAATAAAAAGAGAGGTTGACAAGAAACACTTTCTGTCTCTACACTCATTTTCCCGTTCTGCACTTGTGCTCTGTTGCCTTCATTAAAGAGAAAAATTCACCAGTCACAACTTCCTCCTCCTCATCTTTGGAGGCGGATCAAATTTACTATCTTGGTTCACAGGAAATGGCTGTAGAGGACTGTAAAGCACAGAGGTTAAAGGTGAAGTTCTAGACAAATGAGCTACTTCTTCTTTAAAGTCAACTAACAAAAACCCAACCTAACTTTCAATGGAGTTGAAACAGCCTTATATTGGAAGAAGTTACCATCTAGGACTGTCATTGCTAGAAAGAAGTCAGTGCCTGACTTAAAAGCTTCAAAGGATAGGCTAACTCTCTTGGTGGGAGTTAATGCAACTGGTGACTTTAAGTGAATGCCAGTGTTCATTTGCCATTCCAAAAATGCTAAAGTCCTTAAGGATTATGTTAAATCAATTCTGCCTGGGTTCTATCAATGGAACAACAAAGCCTGGATGACAGTACACCTGTTTACAGCATGGTTTGCCAAATAAGTCCACTGTTGAGACATACTGCTCAGAAAACAAGACTTCTTTCAAAATATTATTGCTTACCTGGTCACCAAAGAGCTCTGATGAAGATAAACAAAGGGATGAATGTTGTTTTCATGCCTGCTAACACAGCATCCATTCTGCAGCCCATGGATCAAGTAGTAGTTTTGACTTTCAAGTTTTATTATTTAAGAAACACATTTCATAAGACTGTAGCTACCATAGCTGTTGGATTTGGACAAAGTATATTGAAAACCTCTTGGAAGAGGTTCACCATTCTAGATGCCATTAAGAACGTTTGTGACTCATGGGAGGAGGTCAATATACCAACATTAACAGGAGTTTGGAAGAAGTTGATTCCAGTTCTCACTGATGACTTTCAGGGGTTGAAGACTTCAGTAGAAGAAGTAACTGATTGGGAGGCCGAGGCGGGTGGATCACGAGGTCAAGAGATGGAGACCATCCTGGTCAACATGGTGAAACCCCGTCTCTACTAAAAATACAAAAAATTAGCTGGGCATGGTGGTGCGTGCCTGTAATCCCAGCTACTCAGGAGGCTGAGGCAGGAGAATTGCCTGAACCCAGGAGGCGGAGGTTGCGGTGAGCCGAGATCGCGCCATTGCACTCCAGCCTGGGTAACATGAGTGAAACTCTGTCTCAAAAAAAAAAGAAGTAACTGAAGATTTGATGGAAATAGCAAGATAATTAGAATTAAAAGTGGAGCCTAAATATGTGACTTAATTGCTGCAATCTCATAAGAAATCATGAACGGATAAGGAGTTGCTTGAGATGGAATCTACTCCTAATGAAGATGCTGTGACCATTGTTAAAATGGCATAGAATTTAGAATATTACATGAACTTATAATCAAACAGTGGTAGGGTTTGAGAGGATTGACTTCAGTTTTTCAAGTTATATTGTGGGTAAAATGCTATCAAATAGCATTTTGCTGCAATCATCACATGCCACAAAGACATTTTTTGTGAAACGAAAAACAATCAATGCAGCCAACTTCACTGATACCTTATTTTAAGAAATTGCCACAGCCACCCCAGCATTCAGCAAACTTCTCCCTGAACAGTCAGCAGTTATGAGCATCAAGGCAAGAATTTCCACCAGCAAAGAAATTACAACTTGTTGAAGGCTTAGTAGAATATTTTTAGTAACAAAGTATTTAAAAATTACAGTGTGCAGATTATTTTTAAATATAATGCTATTGCACACTTAATAGACTACAGTATAGTATAAACATAACTTTTATATGCACTAGGGAATCAAAAAATTGTGTAACTCCCTTTATTGCAATATACTGTGGCAGCCTGGAACCAAATCTGCAGTATCTCCAAGGTACGCTTGTATTTCTGGCATAAGTTACATTCCTCAGCCCAAAGAGTACTTCCCTATGTGCATGATTTGGAATAAACTTTCAGTCACTCTTTAATTTCTGAAGATACACAATTCACAAAGTCTTAGCACCAGGTGTGAAAGAAAAGGATAAAGATATACATTAAACTTTGAGGTCTGTTTCATAGACTAGCTTAAGAAATAAAGTGTTGTGTCTTCTTTCTTACTCCTCAAGGATTTAAATACAGAAATTTGTTAAATTTTGTTTTTCAGTTATCTTATAATCAAATTCTTTATGTGCTAAGTACTATATATTTTACAAACTTTAAATATAGCATTTGAGATCCCTTGTAGTTGTTTAGTGCTACTATTGATAAGAATAAAGCTACAATATTTCATTTAAAATAAGACATCATCAGTTTTAAGACAATCCTGATTTCTGCCATGTGAAATATTTTAAAAAGTAAATCTTAGAATCTACTGACATTACAATTTATTGGAATTTTAATGATACTAGTATAAAATATAATCTATAGTCTGTAAAGTTAGAAGTAGAGGAATTTGTAAAACTAGACAAATTTGCATCTGGAATTAAAGATATTAGAGACTTTGAATTCTAAAAGCATAAAATACATTTTATGTTTTATGCACATAGCTATGTGCATCAAATTATTAAAGAGACTCACAAATATTTATCCTTATACTTGTCAGAGACTTTAAGATGTTAATAGCTGAAAGTAAAAATAAGCATTCTTAAAGAAATTGGGTTAACTAACGACTAATTAATTACCCTTATCAAGCCCCCAGAACCACCAAAGGGAAGGAAATTAAGCTTCTATTTTCTTCTGTTTTGAACTTCCCAGGTTCACCCTTTAATTTATCATAGAAGGGCCAAATTTATCAATGTCCAATAATTATCAATTATCAATTATCAAATTATCAATGTGTTTGCTACAGGCAATGTGGGTCTGTATAACTTTTGAAGATTACTGTATTATGTTTTAATTTTAGTATCTCACCACAATTCATGCTGCTTTCAAAATTTAGTCACCTCCCCAAATCCTGTGGACTCTTTTTATCATTTATTCATTGACCAAGAATGATGGAGCATTAATTCTGTGCCAGACACTCACTTAGGAAGTAGGGATAAAATAATAAGAAATTTTCTCCTTGTCCTCAAGTGAACAGTTTTACAGGGGAGACAGTTTCAGTCACACTGTCGCAGCATTTCTATGGTTTGTATACTTCATAGTGAGTCCAAATAATGGCCAAAAGGAAGAGATAATGATCTCTGCTTTAGAGTTAATAGGAGAAGCTACAACAGCTGAGCCTTGAGAATGAAAAGGAAGGAATTTAGCAGGGCTATAAGGAGAAGGGATGATGGTGGCACTTTAGGCAGAGTGAACAGCATGGCACATTTTGTTTTTATGTGTGTCTCATCTCACAGACCTTCTAGAGTGAAGACCTCAAACTTTAGTAAAGCCTACCACCCAAGCCAGGGAAAGACAATGTTTAGCAAGTATGTTTTTTTGTTTTTTTGTTTTTTTCCAGTAAAAATAAAATGAGGGATCTGGTGTAGAGAATATTGAAAATGGTCAGAAAATAGGTCAATGGTTCTCAAACTTTGGTAAGCATGAGAATCACTCGGGGTGCTCATTCCTAAGCACGACTCTCAGAGATTCTGCTTCAGTAGGTCTGGAGTGGGGGCAGAAAAATTGCATTTTTAATCCCTTAGCCCCATGACTCTGACACAGGTAGTCCACAGAGCACAGAGGTATAGGGGAAAAGGAATTTGTGGATGCTTATGTCCTGGTTCTTATCAACCACCTGCAGCTCAGCAAATATACCTTGAGGTGCACTCTGCCAGCCGTCAAAAAGTTTTGCAATCAAGGTTAACCTGTGTGGCTCAGGCTTGTAAGTTAATTTTCCGACTAATATGCTGAGAGAAAAATCTGCCTCCTGAGACTTAACAGGTCTTCTATATTTTAAAATGTTAGCTTGTTTTGCAAGGGTGGTGAAGCTGAAAAGTACTTAGAAAGCTCCAGGATTAGTCACTTCTCTTTTAAAAAAGGTTTCCAGTGGTACGATACTTACCTTGCAAAATGAAAATTTCCACTGGAGACTTTTTCCTATATTTTATAATCATTGATAAGAATTGATGCCAACTCTACCTTTTTTAGACCTTGACTGAAACATTTTAAAACTGAGTTGAAAATCATCCTGGGCACACCTTTCACACCCACTTGCTCTAATTTAACTCCATTTGTCTTTCCCTTACTTATTCTTTATTTTCCTGAGCATTCCAGCTGTTAGCATTAAATCTAATTTTTGTATGTCAGTCCACGTCAAAGCAAGCTTAATCCTTTTAATGTTAACCTATCACCAGCTCAGAGCTGCTTTATATTATCAGATATAACCACATTTCCAACCCTGAGGGCATGGAGTATGATTATGCATGCATGCACGCTAGAGATTTCCTGCAATACTACTTGGTGTATACTGGAATTCTGTATGGTTTGGGTCACAATTTAACCCCAATCGAAGTGCTTTGTTTACAGAAATAGCAAAAGGCTTTTTTATAAGGTGGGAGCACTGCAGAAGTATCAGAAAAAGGACTGGCTCTCATATTGTCGTGCATATTTTTTAGTCTAAGAGAGGTTAAAATGTTATGGACAAAGGTATACAGTTAATGACAGAAATGTTGAAATGGTAACCAAACAGGAAATCTTAAGATCTATAGCCTAACCCGCGCTTTGTCTTTTTGTCAATGGAGTTATACTATATCATTTACTTTCTTTTCTCCCTTGAGTGAAATAGGATTTCAAAACAAAGCAAAACAAAACAACCCTACTGTTTTTATCCCTTTCATGTAGACAATTATTTGGGGGGTAAGGGGAGGCTGTAAAAGAGTCCACTGTGTCTTGAAAGTTTGGCATAATTACGTTTTTTTTCTCTGCTGGTTTCTGACCAGATATACCTCAAATTTAGAAAGCTGCTCAACAGGGTATTGTCATTGGCTACATGGAAACAACTTGCAGTCAGGTACAGGTGACTTTTTAAAAATTCTACTAAGATATTTAGCTTTGTTATAGCAATACACTGATAAAGAAATTCTGTCTGTTTATATGGAAGATAAACATCATCGTCAAATGCAGATAGATACTATTGCCATTTTATTTTATATAATATATATATTTTGTATAATTGAATTAGAATTTTAGAAGGATTATATCTTAATTAAGTAAAAGAAGTGCTCAATATCTTGTAAATGAGTGGGAAGAGACATTA